GCACTGATGGCTGCCACAAAAAGGGTTTAAACACAATAAAACACTTTTATAAATGTTGACTTGCTCACTTACGAAGACATTAATCCAGTTCAGTTTTGTAAATCCAAACCATTTCTATCTAAAATGTATTCCATCAATGCTATTGAAAGAAATTCTATTGTTTCACTGAAGAACCTCCAAAACAGGCAACTGTACATTTTTTTTTTGACTACTGCTAATAGATGAGTAATAAGTCTATAAGGGGTTAAACGCTACAGCTGCAGTGGGACTGCATGAAAGGCCTTATCACATTTACTCACTTTCAGCAATAGCTCAAGTGACCCCCCCCCAATCCCCGTCCCCCGTCCAGCAGCTATGCGTAAACGCCGCACCGGATCGGCCTGTCACTCGTCCCCTCGGGCACTGCTCTTTTGATGTCATGTTGTGGATGTCAGGCTGACCCTTTTGGACTCTTGACGCTGGCGGGCTGCGGTCACCAAAAAAAACGACAACAGCCCCAAACTCTATCCCAGAGACTCATCCCAGTGCCCTGCCTTCTGCCCCAGTGAGTGACAGGACCCAAATTAGCATGCGTGATCTTGCAGAGATAGGACACCCCAACCCGGAAACTTAGCTTCACATCCGAGCCCAATTAGCATGCGAGATCTTCTGCAGAGATACGACCACCCAACCTGGAAAACTTTGCCCCAAAATGAGACCCCCAGTCATCCCCGTCTTCCGTAACTTACCCCTATGTGTTACAGCTGAAACTCCAGAGCATCCTGCAGCCCTCCACTGCATCTCCTGGAAAGCCTCTTGAGGGTCCAACTGCTCTCCTTCAGTTCCGGAAAGTGAAGTTGCCGCTAATCCGAAATGACTCACGGCTGCACGTGAGCTTCGAACACAACACCTGTCCACTTGTATAAGCTGGACATAAGCGGGCAGCGGCCATGCTCGTAGAGACGAACGACTGGATGCTGTCCTCCTCCACCTTCGCTCTCCTCCCTCTCCTCTATCCTCCCTGCTGCTCTCCTCCTCTCCTCTTCTCTCCGTCTGCTCCTCGTTTGTTTTGATTCGCTCTCACCTTTACATGCTGAAGCAGCAAGAGGCATCGATCTGCATTCTCTGCCCTGCGCACTCTCCCTCTCTCTCTCTCTCTCTCTCTCTCTCTCTCTCTCTCTCTCTGTTCTCACTCCCTCTCTCTTTTCTTCTTTCCCTCCTGCCTGCCCTCCCTCATTCCCTCATTCCCTCATTTCAGCTCAATTTAGGATGCCTCTGACCCAGCACTGGAACTGGATATGTATGTGTGAAAGAGGGGCGAGAGAGAGAGAGAGAGAGAGAGAGAGAGAGAGAGAGAGAGAGAGATCGTACCAAGGGGCTGTGTATAAAGTACCAACACCAAAGAAAAACAGATTATCAAAGACAGTCTAGGGATGCACTGCAAAAAATTATATCCCAAAAAAATTAATAACACATACATTATATTATATACCATTTTATAGGTCCGTTCAGACAATATGAAGGGTAGCATTTCTTCATAATTTCAAAACACCAGCTGCCCTTATACACACACACACACACACACACACACACACACAGACTGTAGTCCATCTGTTTCTCTGCATACTTTGTTAGCCCCCTTTTACCCTGTTCTTCAGTGGTCAGGACCCCCATGGACCCTCACAGAGTGGGTACTATTTGGGTGGTGGATCATTCTCAGCACTGCAGTAACACTGACGTGGTGGTGGTGTGTTGTGCTGGTCTGAGTGGATCAGACACAGCAGTGCTGCTGGAGTTTCTAAACACTGTGTCCACTCACTGTCCACTCTATTAGACACCCCTACCTTGTTGGTCCACCTTGGTCGGTCCAACACCAAGACACTATATGTACTGTACCACTATCCATTACATACACCACTATATGTAATGGATATCATGACAATACAATATTAAACAATTTAGCCTTTCAATTGCCTATCAGCATGTCTGTGCATATTTTGATCTTTGGAAGCAAATGATGACTAATTATCATCTACATTTATTCTGATCTTTAAAACTGCTTGAGGAAAAGCTTTATTCACTGTAGTTACTGCTTAATAATACTGTAATAAGCAGCCAGTGTGCCAAGTCAATTAATTACCAACTACTGGCTTGTTACGTTAATTATCAACTACTAGTTTGTTATGGCTGAACAAGTGCATTGTAACAAAATTATAATGCAAAAGTCAGAAGTTTCCAGTCAAAGCAGCCATTGCAGACAAGTTATTTGTATTTATAACATATATTTAACATAAGAAGCCGCAACAACTAAATATAATATAAATGTAGTGTTTCACTCTTTACCTTTATTGCAGCTTCCATTCTTTTCAGAATAAAGACTCACTTTCAGTTTCTCCAAGAATCTGCAGACACACCTCCAAAGTACAGTCTTAGAAGCTGGTTGATCATTTTCTGAAGTAATCAAACACATTCAGTGATGCTGGGGTCTGGACTCTGGGGTGGTCAGTCCATTGTTCAGCTTCTTTGTTTGATGTGTCCGTCTCCTTTTCTCAGTGAGGTTCTTCTTGACAGCTCCACATCCTTTCAGACCCATAGAGCTGAGTTGTCTTCTCACAGTGGACCTCTTGATTTTTTGGATCTGAAGCAAAAGTGAAGCTTGCTTTTCTCCTCTGTCTCAAAGATGAGAGCACTGTTTATCTGATGGGGATGGTTGTCTGGGTTTTGGTGGTCTACCAGGTCTTGCATGGTTGAGCAGTGACTTTAAAAGCAGTTTCAGTGGATAACTGATTTTAGCCTTAGTAGAAGCATTACTGGAGCTGGCCAATAGAGGGCTCTATGATGATCTACCACAGAAACCTGTGGATTCTCTTTGATCCACACCATTATATTTATGCTCAATCATGCTAATAGAGGTAAAATGATAGAAACATATCTTTGGTTTAAAGCTACAATCTTCAGGTAAACATCCAGAGGGTTAAAGCTTTGAACCCCTGTCAACAAATAAGCTCAATTTTGATTTGAGATGATAATTGCATGAGTGCAAAATTGCCTTTGGAATGCTCCATATTTCTAAGCACTTGAGTCAGGGCCCATATATTTGAGTCCTTATTTCCTGTGTAATAGCTAACCTTAAAGCTCATCCATAGATCACTGGTGTTCTTTTGGAAATACGCACAGAGCTCCCTCTACAGTGTTTACATTGGGGTCGTTCAGTGGGGTGGAATGACGTCCTTCTTTATGTTTTCCCACGAGGATCAATATTATGAACAGTAATAACACCCCTCCCAATGGTTTTTACACAGCATAATCCATATGGTGTTATTTATACACGGTATATATTATCAGGATTGTCTTCTCTGTGTTTATTATCTGCTAATTCCCACACTTCCGCACACATAATAAAGGCAGACTTTATCTTGTCTCGTTATCAGTCCAATTTACTTCCCACTTAATAAGTCAGCAATAAAACTGCAGCAATTCATTGACTGTGGATCAGTCTGAGCAATACAGCTCATTATCTAAGCACGACACTAAAGCTTGTGGATTACTGAGGATTATTAGTATAATGCCTGTGCATAAGGTTTATATTAATAAAGATGGCATGGCTAGAGCTATCACTGACCTCAAGGAATATATGCTGCTTAGCTTCAACACTCAGCTTCAGGTTCATTAAAGTATCCTCGGTATGAAGCGGGATGGAAATGGGCCAGAACTTACACGAGTAACAGTTGGGATGGGATGGTGTTTCGGATCAAATCTCAAAAATCTAGGCAACTATTTTTGAAACATAAAAATAAATAACTTATATCCCCCCAGCAAATCCTGGCCATGACCACCCTTGGTATTAAGAGCAGGTTTGGCTTAAATAATGATTTGACAGTTGCTACGGTAGCCAAGGTAGTTGCTATGGTAGCCAAGGTGGTTGCTAAGGTGTTGCTAAACCATTGCTATTGTATCCTAGGTGGTTGCTAAGGTGTTGGTAGGTCATTGCTATGGTTGTCCAGGTGGTTGCTAGACTGTTGCTATGGCATACAAGGTGCTGGCTAAGTTGTTTTGAGGCCATTGCAGTGGCATCATAGGTGGTTGCTAAGGTGTTGCTAGGCCATTGCTATGGCATCCAAGGTGGTTGCTAGTGTATTGTTAGGCCATTGCTGTGGCATCCCAGGTGGTTGCTAAGCTGTTGCTATGGCATCCAAGGTGGTTGCTAAGGTGTTACTAGGCCATTGCAATGGCTTCCCAGGTGGTTGTTAGGCCATTGCTATGGCATCCCAGGTGGTTGCTAATGTGTTACTAGGCCATTGCAATGGCTTCATAGTGGGTTGCTAAGGTGTTCTAGGCTATTGCTATGCTGTTCAAACATCATAAGTCAAATCAGTTAAGAAAGCACAAGAAACACTTTCAGGTATAGGTTCTACAATCCTGCAATGTTCTGTGGTTCTAGCTTGTTGCAAATTCTTGACCGTTGGATGAAAAGAGTATAGAAAAACAATTCAGTTACTTTCATAATCACTACAGCAAGGACAAAAAAACTGACAGCCATGGTCAAGTAGATGCGTAGATGTAAAGCATTGTCATATTGCATCGGTTATGCTACATGATGGCCTGTTTAGCTCTGGTAGTCCTGTGGGGCTTTTAGTCTCTCATTTCTTCCATATTCAGCTGTGCCAAACAAATACTCTCCCTTCAGCAGTCGTTTAGTCTATGCATTCATTTTCATTTGCATTCATTCAGTTCGTGTTTGCCAATCCACGCAGTTGCGTCACAGGTTTAACTTGCTTCATTCATCATGTCAGTGGCGCAACCACGGCTTGGCTGGACACTAAACGGACTGCAAGTGGCTCTAATGGATGAGTGAGTGTGGGAGGAAGAGTGGAATCGAGGGAGAGGAGAGCGAGGAGTAGGTGGAGTGCAGGTTGAGAGGAGAGTGGGAGGGAGGCAAAGGGAGGGGAGGGGAAGAAAAACAGAGCTAGAAAGCGAGGATGAAGGAGTTTGAGAGAAAGTGCAGTAGAGAGAGTTACAGGTGGGAGCTGTAAGAATGGACGTAAACGCAGAGAGACAGACAGAGGATCTGATCTGAGCCCCTGGAGGGTTTCAGCACTCGCTCACTTTGAGCTTTGGAGGAGGACTGGGACTGCGAAGGAAAGCCACACCTGCACAAAGTGAGTTTGCTCAGACTGTTTCAAGAGTTGTTTTTATGGCGCAAGCTCAAATTTAAGTTTACTTTTTAAAAAAACAAAACTGGATGGAAGTTTAGAATGAACTATATGTATACACTATATAAAGTATTGTTTCAGTCAAAATGCCCAAATGTAAAAGTTCATTTTCAGCATCAAGAAAAAGGCAGAAAACTGGAAGATCACACAGAAAAAAAAATATAATAGCATTTTTTCAGTATTTAAAGTGTTCACTATTTACCTTTATTACAGCTTTCTTTCTTTAGAGGATACTTGCTTTCAGTTTTTCATGGATCTTTTTCCACCAAAGTTCTTGAGAAGTTGGTCCAGTGGGGTGGTTGATTGGTCTTTCTGCTTCTCACGATCTCAAACACATTCAGTGATGTTGAGGTCTGGACTCTGGGGTGGTCAGTCCATCGTTCAGCTTCTTTGTTTGATGTGTCCGTCTCCTTTTCTCAGTGAGGTTCTTCTTGAACAGCTACACATCCTTTCAGACCCACAGCGCTGAGTTGTCTTCTCACAGTGGAAGGATGGACAGAAACACCTGTGGATGTTTTCAGATCTGAAGCAGCTTGATTTTCTCCTCTCTCTCAGAGATGAAAGCATGAAGTGCTGTTTATCTGATGGGGGCAGTTTTGGTGTCGACCAGGTCTTCCAGGTGGTTGTTAGGAGGCCCATTTTCTCTGTAACTCTTATTTTTTGTACTCTAGTTTTAGAATTTGGAAAATCTATATAGTACTAAAAAGAGTACTTTGACTCAGTAGTAGACAACAGTAGTGCAATATAGGACCACAGTTCTTTAAAGAACAGTGGTTCGTCATAGAGATGAACCATTCAATCATGTAAAGAACCACTTATCCATAGATAGAGTGTTCATGGTTCTATATACAACCATTGAAGTACTAACCATTACTTTTTAAAAGTGTACAAATGCAACATTATAAAAACCAAATATAATACAAAGCGTGTTACTTATCATGTTCAGTGAAAATCTTTGAGCTCTACTTTCATTGAGACTTTATTACACGTGTATAAGCCTTGAATAATATAGTTATAAAGCAATACATCAGTATTTCTGAAAAGTTTATGTTGGAATAAAGCTGGAATTAACATTTTATTAAGTATTTGATACTGTTTTAATGTTGGGGGTCTTAAATTTAAGTAAACAACATTTGTTCTAAAACACTTTTCTGAAGCATCATGCATCATTTCCAAGTCATAGTGATAAAGCAGAAGCCTTCAAACATAAACCATCTTATATGTTATGAGTGATAAATATATATAAGTATAGCAAGTTCTTCTTTAATTGCAGGTAAACTTATTACATTTCTAATCTTGCTGTAAGGAACAGACACAGTCGCATCTCTTCAGCGAGTCTGAGCCATATTTAGACATATGCATATTCAAACTGCACAGGGCTGGGTTTCATGAAAGCATCTATGCACAAAGATGATTCGTAAATGGTACAGCGAGCATCACGTTGAACGCTGTCTCTGCCAGTTAAGTCGTTCTTAACAATACAATGCTTTTGGACAGCTGGGCCCAGGTATCCTATTTTTGCTCGTCCTTGTGTTTTGGAAAAATCTGGACCGTGTTGCCTGGTGATGTGCTCATGTTTCTTGACCGGCTGCCCAAACGCTGGCAGTCGAGGAGAGGAGACGGAGCGGGCAGGAGTGGCTGTTTCTGTTCTGTTTGGGGAACTCGTACTCAGAAGCTCCATCTGCCGCTCCATCACGGCTGCGTTTGTTTGATCAGCATCTATAAAGCTGCGTTGGGCCGGCTGGCACTTCCATCATCTGCAGTGACACTTTAGAAGGATGTTTGTTAGGCTCAGTTAAAAGCGTGAAGCTTCACTGTTTTCCCTGGAAACTGTTGATGGATCTACGTTGCCAGTGTTGCTCATACAGTAAAGAAATAGTTTGGCAAAAAAAACTGATTTACATAATTTTCTGTTTTACCCCAAATGAAGTCGGGCAGCACATGTTTTGCATTTGAAATCTGCTTCTTTAGTTTCGCACCGGTGGTACAAGGCTAATGTTGGTAACAAGTAAAGAAAGCTTATACCCCACCAATTAGCATTAAACTGTATACCTAAATCATTGCATGTTGGGCTCAAACTCACATTGTGTTATTACGGAATCTCAAATAGACTTAAATGCAGGGCTGTTTTTAAATGTCTGGATGCCCATCCTACCTGGGTGTCCACACCTCCTCATAGAGTGTTGGGCTAGTTACTCAAAAAACACAATCTATTACAGACTAGTATTACTTCTTACTTCTATCCAACTGTAATGTGATTCCTATTACCTATAACTGCCTTCGAGCTCTCACTACTCATTACTTTACTTCTGTGTTACCCTCTAAAACTCAAACACCTGTACCAACCGTACAAGGCTCATTTTTAGTACTTTATTTAAAAAGAAACAGCCAATCACGGTAAACGTACCTTAATAAGCGAGTAAATATTTTTGCCTTTGAACAAGACAGTCAGTTATGGCTGCGTGCAAAAGTTTGTGTGCACTTGGTCAAATTGCATTATGTTTTTTTATGTGAAAATAAGTGAGCACATCCTCTACAAAGAACACACTTCTGTACATTTTAATGCACAATTTATGGATTTAAGATGATGGGGGAAAAATAAATCACAAAATGTGGCCTCTGTAAAAGTCATGGCATATATATATATATATATTATTTTCTCCAACATAAGTTAAAGCAACACTATGTAGGATTTGAGGATTTGGAGATCTCTCCGGTGGAAATATGTAATTGCAGTCAGCATGTGGAAGAACATTTTTGTTACATTCAGAGAAAATTCAGAGAGTTCAAAACTTGGTGAAGGACGCGTCTTCTGAGGATGTGAAAATGATCTACAACTGTCATCATATCTTCATCAGTGTAAAGTGTTTTGCATTTGAGACCCAAACCTTGAGCGGGACCTCCTTTTTAAAGCTGTGTGTGTGATGTTAAGGCGAAAGATGTATTATGTGGTTTGAATAATTCCCGCCAAATCTGTCCAGTTACCTCTGACTTTTAAATGATCATTTCAAGCTTTACAGGGTGACTTGCAGCAGCACACGCTCACCATATTATAGCGTGGGGGCAGTTGAGGGCTGGAGGTTAAGGAACCAGCCCCTGTGACCGGAAGGTCGCAGGTTCGATCCCCTGAGCCGACAGTACGTGACTGAAGTGCCCTTGAGCAAGGCACCTAACCCCCAACTGCTCCCTGGGTGCTGTGGACAGGGCTGACCACCACTCCGGGCAAGTGTGCTCACTGCCCCCTAGTGTGTGTGTTCACTAGTGTGTATGAGGTGTTTCACTGCACGGATGTTACTTATTTTTACTTAGGAAATCAACATCATTTGACTTGGAGTGTTCAAACAAGCAGTCAGTGCTATTTGAAAACTAAGAATAAAAGAATAAAGTGTAAAATTTAGTGTCTGGCATTGAGTCTGGTCTGTTTAGGTCAGGTTAGGGCTCTTATTTTCACTCTATGACATACTATCTATAACCATAGACATAAATATAGACCAAGTTAAGGCTTTAAGATGGTTACCACTTTTATTTTTAGCTACACAATGTACTTCTGCCCATTTCTGACACTGAACACATTCACAGCGTGGCTACACATGACTCAGCATATGTAAAAGTGAACAGCCATGCAATTTTCCCCAAACGAAGGGTGAATAATTTAAACCCACAGGACTCTCTGGGATTTGACTTCAGTTTGGTAAACATTCACCTGAACTTCTTGCCTTCCTTTCACACATATTCTCAAATCGAACATCCTGTACATGAGCCTCCTGCACCCACATTTCTGGAACTGCATTGAGAGAATGCCTGAAAAATTCAGTTTGCATGTTTCATTTGCATTGAATTGTTTGTATTTAGAAAAGGCTGAATGAATTAGAACATGAGGTTCTTCATGGTGGCACTAGATTTAACATCAGTCTTGCTATTGTTTGCTGTTTGTTATCCACTCAGGGTTCATGCCATCATTTTCAGCCTTCAAGTATAGACTGCTATGACAATTTGAAGAAACTTTCAAAATGGTGTCAATCGCTATCATGATCTGAGTCATTATTGTATAAGCATGTTCCCATAGCAACTGAATAAGTTAGAGCTGCGAGTTATCCATTTACCCATCGTCCCCCTTCCTCCTTCTCTCTCTCTCTCTCTCTCTCTCTCTCTCTCTCTCTCTCTCTCTCTCTCGCTCTCTCTCTGAGAATTTCTGTTTTCTCTGCTTGTCAGAGACTTCTCGTAGCTTTTATTAAAAGCCTTTTCCAAGGTCAGTCTTGCTTCAAACCCACAGAACAGTCTGTACGGAGAGGTGTGCTAAACTGTAGGTCTATAAGCCTATTCTGTTAGGGTTTGGATTTGGACCATAGTGAGGGTTAGGTTTATGTTTTGGGTTGAGGCTTTGGTCAGGGACATTAAACGTTAACGTATTAGATATACTCGAATGCAACTGTTCAAACACTTCCAGTCATATTCCATGTTTTGTTGGTTTTCTTAGTGAAAATGAGTCAATAAATCATCTACAGAGAACATTATTTCTGCCAATTCTAGGGCACAATTTCAATGTATTTGCCAGGTTTAACATGTTAGGAAAAAATGAAACATGAAATATAAAGGGTGCCATAACTTTTGAACAAGCCACATTTTATTTATTTACTTTCTTTTCCCCCAATATGTTAAACTGAACAGCGATTGCACATCAAAATTTCTCTGTTCTCTGTAGTGGATGTCAACCTATTTTCACTTCAGCAATCAACAAAATGTCACTTGACCAGGGGCGCCCAAACTTTTGCACATGACTGTATTTAGTCAAATGTAAGTTAAAGGCATCCACAAAGCATTTACAGTGTGCTATCCAAATAAAGTGTTACCCTTATGTCCTCTTTAAGTGCTTTACTCCAGGAGAAAAAGCCTGGTCACCACGAAATGACTGCAATACATTAACTTTTACGAGCGGAAAATAATGT